AGTTAAATGCATCAATCTGGTGCACTTTGAGGTCAAAATTAAGAGATTTATGGATACCGCTGGAAAAAGCTGCATATGCCGAGCCTGTACGTAGCGCTGTAACTTCCTCCACAAAAGCAGCCTTCTGTTTATTCAACGTGGTGGGGTCGGGGGGACCGGGCAGAGTTTTTCGCCGGTCAACGTGTGTGAAAGTTTAAATCTTCCTTATTGAGCTTTAAAACAAATGAATAACGACTATATATAATAATAAAATAAACACCGGCTGTTGTTATGCCTGCTGTAACGTTAAATTACTCCGTTCTCCGCTTAAGTAATTATGCCGTTACAAGCTTCATAGTTGTATTTATCATCTAAATTTGCCGAAACAAGTTTAATATTCTGAAAGCCAAGACTTTGTTTATTTGAAATCAGATGAAAACAAACTGTAACGGACCCTGCCGTGTTATCTATGATTACTATGCCTTACTGTACATTCATAATTTCAGCCGGAGGGAGGGTGCGGCGCTGCGGAGGAGCAGATTGCGAGTGAGGTGCCTGTCATCTTCCCTTTACAAGCTTCACAAATGTATTTATCGTGTGATTTTGGAAGTAAAAGTTTCATATTCTGAAAGCCAAGACTTTGTTTATATATTATACGTGGGTAGCTATGACGTCAGAAGGAGTTACCGTAATTTGCAGCGACTTGACAGACATCTGCAAAGTCCTTATAAAATGATAGAATTTAAAAGAGTCTTGAAAAAGCATGGTGATGGCAATAAATGCATTAATGAATCCCCAAAATCTACAGAATACATTTCATTTCAGTATCTCAGGTCAGTAACACTCAAAGCTAAATGTGCAATACCATGTTCAGCTATGTTACTATTTATAATGTTATTGTTGTTACAACAGAAGATGTTTTTCTTTATATTGAAGTTAAATGCATCAATCTGGTGCACTTTGAGGGCAAAATTAAGAGATTTATGGATACAGCTCTCAACACTCATATGAAACAGAACTGTTATAATAATGAAGAGAAACTATGAAATAAGAAATGAATCAAATTAAAATGTAATTATCATATCATATATTATATAGTGTATTGTATTATTAAGTAATATCATGCATTAACCCCATTATAGCAGATGCCACATTGAATGGATGAACACATTTATGCATCAATAATTACAACAGAGTATTTCTAAATACAAGTTGTAAAAATACTTATATGTATTTAATACTAATAACATAATGATTCATTTTACTTTCAGATGATAATACTTTTCAGGGTTAGGGTTAGGTCTGGTCTGACAGCGCTTAGCTCTCTGCTGCAGAGAGGAAGAGAAGATCACTGCTCTAAACAAAGTCAAAAATCAACATACAGTAGGGGGGTGGGGGATGGTGAACGGTATGGTCAATGTTTGTAAACACAATCCCCAGGATGTGGGACACTGAAAAGTCTATGTTAAAAGCCTCAGTCACTTTAATTGATTTGATTTGATGCTCATACTTTTACCTTTACAATCGTTTGCTTTAATATTATTTCTAAATACAAGTTGTAAAAATACTTATATGTATTTAATACTAATAACATAATGATTAATTTTACTTTCAGATGATAATACTTTTCAGGGTTAGGGTTAGGTCCGGTCTGACAGCGCTTAGCTCTCTGCTGCAGAGAGGAAGAGAAGATCACTGCTCTAAACAAAGTCAAAAATCGTACATCCAAACGGAATAAATATAATTAATTGTTATTAATACGTTAAGTCTTGTCCATTGTTTTTCACTTTTATGAAATGTTTGATATTTCCGGCACAGACCCTTTCATACCGGCAATGCGCGATAGAAACAACAGGAACTGCGACAGCATAAATATGCGAACACAAACCTACAGACTGCTGGAGAAGAGATATCACAGGGGGGGGGGGTTGGGACACACACATTCCGATGGCCAATTAGTTTTAAACAAAGAGTATACTCAACATAGGGGGGTGGGGGCTGGTGAACGGTATGGTCAATGTTTGTAAACACTGTGACATTTTGACTTTATTTGATCATTTTAGTTAAAAACTAACGTTCATATTTCTCTTTTTGAGAAGAGAAATATGAATATGTTAGTGGCTGACCCAGCCCCATGGTCTGTCACAGTAGTGCGGGGAAAAGAGAAGTGCACTGTTTTGCCAGGCTGGACCTGTAATTTACAGGAAAGGAGTGCACGCTACTAAAGAGACACGCTACCATGGAAACCAAACAATGGTGTTGCTGTATTGAAGTCCGAGTGGAAACAGTCATATTTGGAGCGTTATGTTAGAATGAAACAGCCAGGTCGTGACTCACAAAAAAAAAGTGTTACTTCACTAACTGTAAGCTTGTCACTCAGAGTAACCTACAGTTAACTTAACTGTTGGAAAAGAAAGATCAGGGGGGGGAGAGAGCTGTGGCTGATGGGCAATTAGGTGTGTAAACACACAGCTGAGAGCTGCCGTTTCATTCTGACTGTTTAAAAAACGGTAACAACAGACTATTTTTATTAACGGATGCATGTCAATTTAAATCAATACATACAACTATTTTTTAAATCAATAAAAACATTTTCTAAATCCATAAAAGCATTTCAATTAATATTGGGAGTCATGTCGTTACTTTGTTGAGAATGTGGCCATGTAATAAGCGGGATAATTTGCAACGACTTGGTCATTATGGGGAAAAATAACACCCAGGGATCAAGATCCATCCGCTACGCGTCGGGATCTTGATCTGCCTGACAAGGCTCCATTAAAATATAAATATTTTTAGTGAATTACTGAGTTTAGGCACGTTAATAACATTTTAATGAATACAATATATTCATATTTGTCAGTGATTTCATGTCAATTCGGCGAACATAAACATAAATGATCGTGGTGAAGATGATGATTAAATTAGGATTAAAAATCGAGAGCCGGCTGCATTTCCTCTCGTTCGTTTTTTTCGACTAAACAACATTATTTTGTTAAATAACAACATGGTGATGTTTTGTAAATGATTACATGTCTTATTTAGCACAGACTATGATCCTATCCGTGACATATGGATCTTAACAAAGATCCGCTATACATTAGTACCAGACATACTGTACATCCAGTTTATTGTATCGAAGTTGATTTCACATGAGCTCCAGTGTGGAACCCCACTGCACCCCCTGGTGGATCAATGATCCATTGCAGCTGGCTTCACAATAATTACATTTATTTATCACGGGGGGCGGTATCAAGTCAGACTGGGGGCCGGCTCTTCATCACGAACCAATCACGGGCCGATCACGGACCAATCACGACCCAATCACGACCCTCGCGTTTCAAACTGTCTGAAATAAGATGCTCCATCTGTATGGTAGGGCGAACACATAGAGGGGCCGTTTCTCAATCGCGAGGATATTGGCTTCCAAGCCAATATTTCAAGGATGCTACGTCATCAAGTTGCGCAGCAGGACCGTTCCAATGTCCAGCATACTTGGAATTCCAACAAGGCCGCGTCCTTGGTTTGGGGGAAATTTCGAGTCTGCACATGGGTAGACTTCGCGTCCTTAAAATCCCCACAATGCTTTGCGCATGGACCAATTTCCAAAATCTGTGGCGGAAAATGTAAGGCGGGGCCTCTCATATGACGCACACCTCCACACTTGCTAGCCTGTTCCACTCTTCGTTTTCCGAATGCCAGGAAGTATTCTTGACTCGATTCTGAAGCAAGTGACTCGGAAGACATGTGCTACCAAGCAAGCGTACTCGCGATTGAGAAACACCCATGGCACTGACACCGGCACCGCCCTTTATTATCATTTTTTTTAAACGGCATCATGTAAAATGACATGTTACGCTCGTGTTGTGTTCAAGGAACCTGTCCTTGGCCAGGAAAAACAGGCAGTCGCTTGTTTAATTCTGTTGCGGTCTAGATTTATTAAATTGTTTGTTTCCTTCTGCGCTGCATTGCGTGCGTTGCGTGCGTGGCATGTGTGGCGTGCATGGCTTCCTTCTGGAGGTAACGGGGAGAAGCGCTCTGGCAGCGGTGCCGACCCCTGGTCTATTGCATAACGATAGCTAATTCTCTAAATGAATGGTTATCTTTACATGGCTGATTATGTGTTAGTATGAATAACATAATTATGAAATCTGCCATTGTGATGAAGTCCAGGATAATTTGTTGATGGAGTGTTGACAGGTTCTTAGAGATAAATGGGTTCAATGTTTTAAACTGATGCCATATACTTGACAGATATTTGAGTTTGGTTTGTGAAACCTTCCCACTATGGGAGCATACTTCACCTCTTTAACAACATCTTAGTTAATAATGTAACTCACCCACTATAACCTTTATTCCAGCAATAAATCCGCACTTTAGTCTGAGACACTCCCTGAGTTACATGAGAGGAGACAGAGTTCAGCAGAGGAGGCGTGACAGAGCTCCTCCCTCACCTGACTCACCTGAGATAAACCAGGAAACAGTTTGTTATTCTCCCTCACTGCAGAGAGAGAGACGGACTGAAAAACAGACGATCACATTCACCTTCAGACCAAACTAACAACTTCGGCTGAGTTCAGCTACAGGACAGAAAAGTGGAAACGACAACCCTGCTGCTTCAACCTGCTGACCCTCCCCCCCTGAAGGTGAGTTTCCAAACATCACTCAAAGAGAATTTCAGTGAAGTCAGTAGAGGAGGGGGAGGGGAGCCATGACTGACTGTACTTCCTGTCTGCTGTGTTTCAGCTTCACTCAGAGACAACATGACGTCCAGGTTAGAGCAAGATCTCTGCTGTCCGGTCTGTCAGGAAGTCTTTAGAGATCCTGTCATTCTGTCCTGCGGCCACAGCTTCTGTAAAGCCTGTCTGCAGACCTGGTGGGATGGGAAAGAAGTGACGGAGTGTCCATTTTGTAAGAGAAGAATCTCAAAAGATCCACCTTATAACTTTGCTTTAAAGAACCTGTGTGAGACCTTCTTACAGGAGAGAGATCAGAGACCTCCAGAGGCTGAAGCTGCTCAGGATCTCAGAGAGGAGCTCCAGAAGTCTCTGCAGCCCTTTCAGGAGAAACTGAAGCTCTTTGAAGAAGTTAAAGTGAAGTTTGATCAAACAGCAGGACACATGAAGGTCCAGGCTCAACACACAGAGACGCAGATTAAGGAGCAGTTTAAGAAGCTTCACCAGTTTCTAGAAGAGGAAGAGGAGGCCAGGATGGCTGCACTGAGGGAGGAAGAGGAGCAGAAGAGGAGGGTGATGGAGGAGAAGATGGAGGCTGTGAGCAGAGAGATCGCAACTCTTTCACACACAGTCAGAGCCACAGAGGAGGAGCTGAGAGCTGAAGACGTCTCCTTCCTGCACAACTACAAGGCTGCAGTGGAGAGGCTGCAGCGCCCCCTGCTGGAGGATCCACAGCTGCCCTCAGGAGCTCTGATAGACCAGGCCAAACACCTGGGCAACCTCAGCTTCAACATCTGGAGCAAGATGAAGGACATGGTGTCCTACTCTCCTCTCATCCTGGACCCAAACACTGCTTATCCACAACTCATCCTGTCTGAAGATCTGACCAGAGTGAGAGCAGGAGGAGAGAGACAGGAACTTCCTGATAATCCAGAGAGGTTTGATGCACACGCCTTAGTCCTGGGCTCTGAGGGCTTTAACTCAGGGACTCACAGCTGGGATGTCCAGGTTACAGACAGTACACTCTGGGTACTGGGTGTGTCAGCAGAGTCTGTCCAGAGGAAGGGAGACATACAGTCTGGATTATGGAGAATATGTTTCTATAAAGGTGAATACTATGCACGGTCACCATCAGCTCCAGACACTCCTCTCCGCCTGAAGAAGAAGCTCCAGAGGCTCAGAGTGGATCTGGACTGGAACAGAGGAAAGTTGTCGTTCTCTGACCCTGACACTAACACACACATACACACCTTCACACACACTTTCACTGAGAAGATGTTTCCATACATTCTCACTGTGGGTGAAGTGAAGATATTACCACTGAAGGTGTGTGTGACAGTGGATCAGAGCAGGTAGAGATACACAGGATCATTATATCTATGAATGATCATCTCTTAAAGGGATCATTCACTGACCTCTGAACCTGTCCTCCTGCTGTCTCTTTATTCTAAACATGTTTTTATTCTTGTTGTTATTGAGTTTGATAATCTGCTTTTTGATCATACTGTCAACCTTTATTAAATTGAAACACGTGCATTTAGCAGACACTTTTATCCAAGTAACATCATGTTCATCAAATATGCTGAACTGCTTCCTTTAGAGGAAATAAGAGATATATATTCTTTACATTTGAAATGATCTCACCCAGATTCAGATCTTTATGTCAGGTTATAGTTTAACCTTCTCTGTTTTATTGAAACTATGTCGTTATAAATTGTTCATTTGTGATTTGTGCTTGATGGGAAAATAAATAAAAAATATGTTTAATCCAACTGCAAGTTTGAGCAGCGAATCATTTATTAGATACAAAATAAAATGCGTTTTAATTAAACGATGTGTTGGCTTGTGTAACCATTAGCCAATCAGCAACCAGGGTAACCCCCCCCCCCCCCCACCTTATCACCTAAATCTCCTCCTAGAGCACCATGTTCTTTTTAACCAAATCTCTCTCAGAGGGGTGTGGGGAGGGGCTCCTTTTTTTCATCTAAAGTAACAGACAGAGAATCAGCACTTTGGAAACAGGGCTGAAACAGAGGGGATTATGGGATGCTGCAATGATCTGTTTGGTGTTTCAGCCAATCAGAGACAGGTTCTGTATATATCTGAGACCTATAATATGTTGATGAAAAACAGTATAATAGGAGACCTTTAAAGTAACCCTCCCAACTGTGAGCAATAGTGACTTTTTGTGAAATGACAGGGTTGGAGATGGACTTGGACAGAAGGTGTTTGATCATAAAGGTTGAGGTTCACCCACTGAACGTATTTATTTCCTCCCATCTGGCCCTGAATGCCTCCATGATGGGAGTTCAGTGAGTCAGCAGCAGATGAACGTCAGCAAAAAACAAACAAAAACGCCTCAAAAAGAGAGACATTCCTACATGGAGCAGTACGAGGCACGCCAGGAAATGACATGTTTTGCTTCGGCCTGCACGGAGCGGAGAAGCTGTCATGAGAGTCTGAAAAGTCTGAAACACCTGCTGTAACATTTAACTGAAAACACAACAGTTATATTACCGAAAGGCCTCTGGGGATCTTTATAAAGGCCCTTTTAACATCAGGGGTGAGCCATTAGAGGCACAAAAACGTTAAACTTATCTTACAAACTCAATCGACTATAAATAATGTGAAAAGATTTATCAGTATTTTATGATTTCCTGTATCTTTTAAAGGTTTTTGACGTTGCTTGATAACTGGACTCCACCACTTCTCCCTTTAAAACCTGTTCTGTATATATTGTCTTCACACTGTACATTTATATTTAATTAAGCATGCTATTTCTTGCACAATTAATGTAAATAATATCCTACTTTTAAATGTTGCTGGCAGTAATTTGTCCCTTCATAGTGTATACTTGACAGATATATATCTTTCACTGTCAAGATGTATCTTACTTTTTAGTTTAGTTGAATTTTGAGATATTTATATTTAATGTATGTGTTAGTTTATTTTCTACAATTGTTTTGATTTCCACATTATGTCCAATGCCTTGTTTATATGCTGCTGTGACGAAAATTAGGATAAATAAAGTAAAACTTAACTAATACTTGTAACAGAATACATTTTAAAGTAACCCTCCCAGCCGTGTCTAAGCTGAACAAATGTATTTACATATACATTTAATAGATTTGATTATTATCCACTTTTTTTGTTTTATGTCCTTTTATTTAAAACATTCTTTGAGACTTCTTCTTCTGGTTTAAATTTCAATACATTTAATTTGTATAATCACTCTTTTGTCTTTATTCTACATGAAAATGTTAGAGATTCCATTCAAATCTGTTGATTATTCAGATCTTCCTCAGGAATAGTATGTCACATTTTTAATGCTAAATGTATATCATTTTCTCACAGGATATAGAATGAGACAACACAGTTTGTATCCATTGTGTATGAATGCTTCAGCTCTTCAGACCAACATAGTAAGATGTGAGCATGTTCCTAATTGTGTTGGTATGCAGCCTAGGTCTGGTCTGTTTAATAAAGCAAATCTGCCACTTTTATATTGTAGAATTTGTTAAATTAAAGCAGTGTTTAAAGGTAGGGTAGGTAAGTTTGAGAAACCGGCTCGAGATCGCTAGAATTTGAAAATACACAACCGGAGAAAATCTGCCACTTCCTCACAGAGCCCCTCCTCCAACACACACGAACGCGCACATGACCAATGAGGGCACGAGATAAATTTGTGCACAGATGGAAGGCTGACAGGCAGGTAGTCCATCCAGTTATTTTAGCCGGGCCGGCTAAAATGATTGGTCGTACTTTTTACAGTACTACGGCTTCCAGAGATGACAATCACTTATATATATATTATTCATTCATTGCTATCGTGTCATGCTTTTCCGGTTATTACCCGTCCCCTTGTGTGTTATGAAGGTTTTTATGCATGTAAACGGTGTGCAGAGTCAAAACCCTCAAAGTTCACCCTGTAGCGAGTAAAACTCTAACACATAAAATACCTCCCCAAAACGCCTCATTGGAGATACGTCACTGTCCATTTGATTCTTCCGGGTGCGGCATGATGTCATGCGGTACCCGGAACAAAATGGACCAATCTGGAAGAGCTATGGCCACACCCAGCGGCGCTGGCCGCACCCTCTGCCAGCCTAACATTTACTGTTGGAAGCTCTGGTTCAGTTCACAATCGATCCAGTCATGCCAATGCCAAGGACCTGTTTCCTGAAATGGGAGGAGAAATCTGAGCTGTTTGTCCTACCGACGGAAGAACCACGACGAAGTCAGTGGTTGAAATGTCTGTTTAACACTGTTCCTTCAGAGGTTCACAGTACTGTGACTGCCAGTCTGAAAGTCTTAGACGATATTAAGGCTGCTTTGGATAAGAAATCAGTTTGTGTTGCATTGTTTATTGACCTAGCCAAAGCATTTGACACTGTAGATCACCACATTATGTCTAATGTTATGTTGGTGTCTCGTTTCGGTCACAATGCCATTTGCTGGTTTCAGAGTTATCTAACCGACCGTACTCAATGCGTCAGGTTGGGTAGTACTGTCTCTGACCCTGTCACCTTGGAGAAGGGAGTTCCACAGGGCTCTATTTTGGGGCCCTTGCTCTTTTTATTATATGTAAACAATATTTGTAATCAGATGCAATTTTCTACCTATCATATGTATGCTGATGACACTATTGTATACTCATGTGCTCCTTCTCTGGATATGGCCGTTTCCAATTTAAAATCAGATTTTATCACGCTGCAGCATGCGCTTCTTGATTCCAAACTGCTATTGAACAGTAAGAAAACCAAAGCAATGCTTTTTGCTCCCAAGTCAGCGTCCTCCTCTTGCCTCTCCATTGACACCCTTGATGGCGTTTCTGTTGAGTTTGTTGATACCTACAAATATCTGGGCTTTTGGTTGGACAGTAATCTGAACTTTAAACACCATATTGAAGTTTTAACAAAGAAATTGAAATTCACTCTTGGCTTCCTTTTCAGACTTAAATGTTGTTTTTCAATTTCATCCCGTAAAAGGTTGGTCTTTGGCTTATTCCTGTCCCAGCGGGATTACGGTGATACCATTTATAGATTTGCCTGTCCCACTGTTTTGGCCAAACTTGACCCACTTTACCATGCTGCACTGCGTTATATATCAAATGCACCCTATAGGGCTCATCATTGCACACTGTATAGCCTAACTGGATGGTCCTCACTTACTATGCGTAGGATGCAGCACTGGTTTTTATTAATGTATAAAGCCATTTTAGGTAAGCTTCCACTCTACATATGTGTCAGATTTGCCCCATTTTGCGACTCTTACAACCTCAGATCCAGTGCCTGGATACGGTTCCAGGTACCTGCTGTGCGGACTGAGGCTGGAAAAAGGAGTCTTTCTTATTATGGTCCTTGGTCTTGGAATGACCTTCAATCAAGCCTAAAACTGATGGCACTTGTCTCTACAGCATGTTTTAAATTGAAGTTGTCTGAAGTCCTCACCACCAGCTGCTTTTGCAGTAATAAGTAGTACTTTTCTTACTGTCCTAATGTGCACAATGTAGTGACTGCTTTTTCGTCTTTTGTTTTCTTAGTTATGTTCTCTGTATTTTATATGTTTGTGTTATGTGTTATGTGTAACGTTGCTGCCTTCTTGGCCAGGTCAGCATTGAAAATGAGATTTTATCTCAATGTTTTTTTATCTGGTTAAATAAAGGTTAAATATAAAATTAAAAAAAGTTCGAAGAACGTTACTGTGTGCGCGGCATTTCACAGACGAAAGCTTCCAAAACATTGCCCAGTTTGAGGCCGGATATGCACAGCATTTGAAACTGAAGGACGATGCTATTCCTAGTTTGTTTGGACCGTTTGGAGCAGGGGAAGATTCGGGGACATAAATAAAGTTTGATGGAAATACTTAGTAGGCCTATCCTTTCTTCCCTGAATTATTTGCTCCTATAACATATCATTCATATATAGCAAACCATGATTTGATTTCTCATCAAACAGTAGTAGTTTATTACAGGTAAAAATAACTTACTCTTCTATAACAACAGTTATAGGTACAGTTCGGTTAGTTAGCGTATAAAATATACGGCTGTACCGAGGCCATTATAAGACTGTTGTTCCGCTGAGAGCGAGCCGAAAAAAGCACTGTTAGACATGGGCGGAGCCTCTCTGGTGGTTGACTAATCAGAACAGAGTGGCCGAGCTGACCAATCGGAGCACACTAGGCTCACAGGGAGGGGGGGGCAAGAGCTCCAAAGAGCCGTTTAGTGGAGAGAGTGAATACTGCTGAATACACATACTTTACAGAGATGCTGTATGCGAAACCAATGTGAGTTTGGAAAATTGCACAGTAGAAATCTATTTTAGTATACCTCAACAATGTAATTATGATCAGTGGAAATGGCCATGACACCTGTCCTTTAAGAGCATTCCATGGAATATAACAAAAAGTGTATCTCGAGCCGGTTTCTCAAACTTACCTACCCTACCTTTAATTGTTTGTCCTAAACATAGCAATATATGCTTTTGAAATGTAACATGTCTTTGAAAAAATAACAGTATACAGTTTATATTGTGTATCACCTTTAGCTTGAAAATACATAGATGTGTTTTTTTAATCTATAAAATAAATAAATAGACAGACAGACACTTTATCAATCCCAAATTGGGAAATTATTTAACATCAGCAGTGTGTTCAGGTATTAAAAATATTTAAAGTTGGAATAAAGTATAAACTACACAACACAAGTATAATGCACAGCAATCCATAAGATAAGTCCGATATGTTCATGAAAACTCCCCAGGAGACACCAACA